AAAATTGACCATTGCAATTTTGAAAAGTTGAAAGGCATTTTTTAGAAAAATTTGGAATATGTTGATGCTTTATGTAAAGTACCCCCAAAAATCAAAATGTTATTTTCAAACACGCAGAGCCTACAGTTCGTGCAGATCAGTAGGGAATATAAATTTTGGGGAAAATTGTCTGAAGGCTTTAGGCGCTAACGTTGGCAAGTTTTGCCATCAGTCGATTTTGGGGTATTAAGAACCCAGAAAACGTAATCTGACTACACAACTTTGCGCGCGTTGATGGTGTAACGGTTACCGTACCGGACTGTTGTACCCAAGTTGCGGTTCAAACCCGATGGAAGCCGTGGATTATTAAGGGCGAAAAAATCCTTCATACGCCTTCCGAGGGGAAGTAAAGCCGGCTGTCCCATGTTAGTAGATTTACTTGCATGTAAAACATCATCAAGCCTAAATGACGCCTCTGAGCTAAATTGAAATCGCCTGTTTCTCGCCCAAGAAATACCTCTTCTCTGCTAGTTGGTGAAAGGAGCTAAGCGAAATTTGCATGGTCAGACAGAAGAGCAGTCCTCATGGTCTGAGTCTCGCCACGTAAAATAAGGCATCAATTCAATTCAATTCAATATGAAGTAAACAATACTACGTATAGGAACAAGATATATTCACTTTTTCGATATCTGGTCCGACAATAGGAGTTGAACCGTCGAAAAATCGCAGTTTTCCCCACAGCATTACAATATTTTCTACATAAAGTTGAACCCTGGTAATCCGAACTAATCGGGGGTGGGCTAGATATTTCAATGAAATTAGTGTTTTATGCCTCCTTCGTACTCTCGGAGGAGAAATTAAAAAAAAAATGGAAGTCATTAGAAAATGTTTGAGACTGCATGCAAACTGCCCCCAAAACCAAAATATGCCAATAGGGCGGTCCTGTAATAGATTGTGTGTGACCTTCAATGTACACTTGTGCTCTTTCCAATAAATATTATATTTGGAATTGTATTTTTAAGCGAATTTTCAAATCAAATAACTACAGAATTTTGATAATGTCATTTTCCCAACTCTCTTCAAAGTTATTTCATGCCTTCTGCCGGGTCTTGGAACATAATGATTTTGGAGTTCCTGCCCCAACCCCTAGTTTGCGAGTCTAAAATCACCCATGAGAATAAGTTGTGTTCATTGGTGATTTCCAATATATGCTTTGATAACGTCTATTGAATTCTCTTTTAACATGCAAGTTTTTTTGTCTATATTACAATTGAAACAATCTATTGGCCCACCCAATTCAAGCCCACATGCTATTTGCGTCACCTGCATTCTGCTGTGCTCTACAAAACGACCTGGCGTTCACCACGAGCAGCAGGCAGCGCGACGCCGCCGCTCGCGCCTGGAGGAAAATCAGTTTTGTTTGCTTTTATTTTTTTTTCGGGGAAAACCTACCGGGTCCTATTATAAAGGAAATAATTGCCTAGAGCGCCCGTAGCAGTTCTCTGAACTTTTCGATGTTGATCTTGCTGAGGTCATTGGCGTCCTCCGCATATCTGGGTTTCTCTCTGCTTCGGTGAATGGCGAAGCCTTCGGCAGCATCGCTCTAATTACATATGTAGAAGCGGAGCACGACTTCTCTGGCGATTTACTGTTTTGCTCTACAAGTTTACTTTTGCTGATTATCTTTCACAACACCGCTGAAGAGTTGGTTCGATACAGTTTGCAATTTTATAATACGAATATTACGTATCCGTTCAGATAAAACGAGAAAGTATGAATTGTTGTAGCTTTTTAAACGTAGATCTGTCAGTAGTTTTCATGGAACTATCACTGCAGCTGATTTCATGTCAGATCCTAATAAGACAAGGGTAACGACGGGACACATCAGTTTGAATTCATAGATTTGACTTCTCATTGTTGGGAGATGTTTCTTGCTGTATGGAACGCAGTTTTGGATGGTTGATTTTGGGTTGATGTATTGAAAGAATTTAAAAGAATTATTTTTCACATCAAGTGATACTTGTTACACGGGATAGCTGGGATGTGTTAATGTGGACAGAAATCGCAATATTCTAATACTACATAACCGTTTCTATCGCGAGAAAGTACGTACTGTTGTTTCACAGAGTTTTGTTTTGTGATGTCGCCTCTGCCCTGTTTATTTCCTAGCAAATTATTTCCTTATCTAATTCGGCTACTTCGCCCGTAAAACATGTCTGATCAAGAAGTAGCACTTTCATAACTTTTATAAATGTTCAACGTGTCCGGATTCATTGAGGCTGTTAGTTTCGGTTTACTTCGCTAGGAATGATAGGGTTCTGTGGTTTGCTTCTTTAACCTTTTCTGTTCAATTCCTCCTTTACCCATTTGGCTTTCTTTTCCCTTAAAAATGATTCGGTCACAACTTTCCGACTGTAATTAGTTCCTTCGCGCATTTTCCGATTCCAGTTTTCTAAATATTTCTAGTACTCTCGTGGCCATCGTTTTGCGTAGCATTCAATATTGTACTACGAAGAGGAATTTCGATCCGTCTCGATAATGCCTACTTTCATCCATTTACCCGACTTTTGAAATGCTTTCTGTAAACCTTTCGCTGCTGCGCTCGGGCTGCCGTCCACCAGCGCTTCCGACAGGCTTCTCTGGTTTAAGGTAGTTAAACCAGCACATACTTTCTCCCCCGTATTTTCACGTAAAGTTACGCGAAAAGTACTCACGTTTTCGAAAAATTGTATATGACCTTTATCATCTATTTTTTTATTATTTGGAAAATGTTCCAAGGGCTTCATGTAAAGTATCTCCCAAAATTTAAATATCGGTTTCAAATTCAATCGGCCGCAACATCAGCTCCAACAAATGCGGAATATCAATTTTGGAGAAAATTTGCCGAACAGTTTCGCCGCTAGCGTTGTTCAGACTTACGGACGGACATACACAGGCGGATGCACAGACAGACGTTTTTCCGTCATTCGATTTTGCGGTGCCAAGGGCCCACAAAAAGGATTCTGGCTATACCATTTGTTAGAGGACTTTTTTTTTTCTATTTTTAGCAACTGAATTTATCCACTTTTTCCTTACCAGGACCCAATAATAAGAGTTCTCTGACGAAAATTTGCCGATTTTTCGCACATTACATAACATGTCCTCTAAAGGAAGAGGAGGAACCTCTTTCGGGGAAGTGTATATATATATATATATATATATATATATATACATATATGCATACATGCATACATGCATACATGCATACATGCATACATGCATACATGCATACATGCATACATACACAAAGTCGTAAGTTAAGAAACAATATCAATTAAAAATAATTATTTTATATAAACAATTATTTTGTGCAATTTTTATTAATATTGGTTGATTGAACATGTTAAAGTACATTGTTTGTTTCTATGCGCTCTGTACCGAGAATAGCTTTCTTAGGAATACAACTACTTCCTTAATGATAAGCCTTCTTCCCAAGACTCTATCTCAAACACGAATGCATCGTCACTCCTTCTCCGAGCCACATCTTCGTGCGGTTTGTCGTATGAGTAAACATTTAATTTTCGACTTTATAGAATTTTTTTATGTCCTAAAAGTTTGACTAGAATCTCATTTGCCATACAACGCGCAGAAATTTAAATAATTAGGAAAATTGTTTTTTGTTGTATTTTTGTAACGTTTAATATTTCAGAAATCGTTAGTTGTAGGCAAAAAAATTGCCGAATGTTTGGAAAATTGTATTATCCTCAAATCTTGTAAGAAAGTTATTCAACAAAACTATTTTTCGTCACCTTTGACATGTAGTATTTAGGAACGCATGCATGATATCTCTTCGATCTGCTAGTAAAATTGCTAGTAGAATTGATGCTAGTAAAATTTTTGGCGAACTGTTTTTTTCTCTCGAAAATTGAAAAAAATATTGAAAAAGTACAATATTGAAGAGTGAGATCTTGGTCTCAAATGAAATGCGTTGTAAAATATTAAGTCTTTTAAAAAATGGCATGTAGAAATTTTTGAAAAAACTAGTAGTTTGCGCGTAAATTCTACTTAAAATTAATGCAATTTATAACAAAATCTTACTCGAAAACTGCTCAAAATTTTTTAAAACGTTTTCTCCATGTTTGTATCAAAGTACAGTAAAAACATTGATACTTTCTTTCTGCGAATTTCTATTTTCTAAAATTTAAAAGATCAGTATTGTAATTTTGCAATTTTAAAGAAAAGCGTCTTAATGAAATCTGTTCTAAAACCAATAGGTCTTTAAAAAAGGTTATGAACATTCATTTTGAAAAAGTTAGTATTTTTCGCATTATTTTTGCTGGCATATAATGCAATTTTTCTTTTTTAATTTTCTCATAAACCGCTAAAAATTTGTTCTTATATTTGTTTCCACATATAGGGGAAAGGAGTCTTCAAAAATTTAAGCAGAGCTAATTTTCTTTGAACTCCCTGAATTTTCGAAAAGTGTATCTAAAGAATAGACCGTTACTTTGTTTAAGCGTCCACAAAAGTGAACGGCCGAACGACTGCGTGATGTAGTGGTAAAGCGCATTGCTAGTTTCTCCGTGGACCTGGGTTCGAGTCTCGGCACGGAGAAAAATGTTGCTTGGAAACCTTTTTGCTGGTTCATGTATTAGTGTAATATTGCAAAACTGATACAAATAATGTGAGATAGTATTTGGTGTTGTAGCACCACCAACTTTCACCTGAAAAGTCTTTCTCTGTACTGTATTATTGTACTATTTTCTGTTTTATTAAATGGTGAAGTGGTTCTTTCTTAAAATCGTCCACAAAGATCAATAATTGTTTGAAAAATCCAGTGTGTGAAGTTCTAGAATCTCTACCTTGTCGTTGAGGCAAGTCCTACTCCATCTGCCGATTCTGTGCGATCCTTAATGTAAATGGCACTGTAGCTAATGGCTATATCCACATTCAGAAATTCCATGAAAACTGATTTCCTTGTGAAATCTATCAAACTTGCCATTGTGCTCAGCCGTTTTTCACGTTGTTTAATTTGTTTCCAGGGACATATGGCAATCAGATTCTTCGCAAAACATCGACTCATCACAGAGCGAAATTCGCGATGTAGATTCGTCTATTTCTGCTCTCACCCCGGATTCTGGCTCGAATTCTTCTCATGAGCTTCATTCAAGTCGTAGCATTTTGGTGAAGCCCCTCACCGAGCCGGAAGATGATACATCGAGTTATATCAGGTGAGTAAACTTGTATGTTACTGAATGAATGAATGAATGAATGAATAAATGAATGAAGATTAGTAGTCTGAGAACACGGTCGTGTTGTCACTCATACCTGTGCGAGAAATTATAATTTGTCCAGAGAGCAGTTGGATGCTGCTCACTACGAAATCATTTCTCCATCTATTAGTAATGTTAGAGAACGGAATTTATAATGATAAAACAAAGCAAAATGTGTACATTCATACTTATTATTCTTTCCAAAATATGTAACAAAAAATAAATGTGTAAAATAAAAATTTATTGTATGGTTTAAAATTTCTCCCTACAATTATTTTCAAATTTCCGATCACAAAACGTCATATTAAAATTGATTCGAAATAGCGAAAAGAAAGTTCCACCTTTACAGAGGTAATTGAACAATAGCTTTCACACAATCCGGGGTTTATTCGAAATAAAATGCATACGTACATACAATGTTTACGAGTCGCGCAAGTGAAGTCATACCGTGTAGCCAGTGATAAATGCTGGAGAGGGGTGGTAAAAGCATAACCCCACCCCCAAAATCCAACAATGCGCTAAGACAAAAATCTGTGAAGAATGTCTCATTTCGATCGACTTTACGCATGGGCTCTATGAAACAGGAGCAAGTACGTAGATGAGATGGTACTTCTGCTTCGCTAAAATCCGTGCATCCTTGTTTCAGAATATATGTCAAGAAGCACGGGGGGGGGGCGAAATTTTATAATTCACGGTTCTGTGGTCTTAGAAACACAGAAGAATTACGTTACAGTGCTTTGTAAGAAAGGTGATGTCACGTTTAGGCAAAATCTTATCCAAATTGTTCCGTTTCAACGCATGTATAATGTCTGGGAAGAAACGTCGAAACTTCGGAAATAAGCTCTTAAGACAATTTTAAGCATATTTTGTCTAATAAACTACTTAGATATTCCGAATAGCTGAGCCGCAATAAGCACTCTAAAGTTAGTTTGAAAAAATACTTTCTGTACAAAAGTTTGCATTTCACTCCAGAAACATGTGTAAATTATTTATTATATACAAAAGAAATTAATAGATTTGTTTGCAAAGAAAAATTAACACAGAAATAAAAAGCAGTCGAATTATGTAAATGGGGAGCTCGCTACAGAGAAGAGGCAGTTACGTTATTCTGAGCGAAAAAATGGAGAATTTTCGGCAAAAACTTTATATTACAGGGCCCTGGTAACGTAAAGTGGATAAATGCAGTTGCTAAATTTAGAAAACAAAATTTTTAGCACGTAATGTAGCCAAAATCCATATATTGTGGATCCTTGATTCCGAAAAATCGAATGACGGCAAAACGTCAGTCCGTCCGTGAACAACGCTAGGGGCTAAATCGTTCAGCTGAATTTCTCCAAAATTAATATTCCCCTATCGATCTGGCTGATTTCGCGACCCTTTGAATTTAAAACCGATATTTTAATTTTGGGGGTTACTTTACACGAAGTCTGTGGGACATTTTCAAAATTTTTAAAAAACAGCGCCATGGTTTTTTATTAAATTTTGTAATATAGTGTGAAGGACGTTTAAGAAAATGGTGCAAGTCTCATGTTCGTTGAATACTGATTTTTCAAAAATTCATTTTTTTTTCACCGTCTTCCTACAACTTCAAATCATAAAGATATTTTTTTCTTAATGAAATCTCTTACTTAGTTAGATTTTAAAATAGTCATGTACAGTTTTTTGAACATGTGAGTTATCTTCGCGTATTTTTGCATGAAATTACAGGCGAGAAAGTAGAAATTACAGACGAGAACCTAATTTATTTCAGTTATTTTTCTTTCCGAACAAAATATTCATTTCTTTTGTAAATAATAAATAATTTACATCGAAACTTCTAAAATAAGCTCTTAAGGCAATTTTAAGCCTATTTTGTGTAATAAACTTACATGGATATTCGGAATGGTTGGTTTTTTCTATGAAATATTCATTGCAGAAACATGAACTCCTGAAACGTGTAAATTGTTGTATGCTCCCAACCCAACTAGACATTTTTGCTGAATGGAAACACGTTTACGGGTCAACTAGTATTATAATATTACGTAACAGTTACAAATAATATGAAAAAGTATGTGCTGCTGAGCAGCATTTCTTCTTTCAAGGTGTAAAATGTCTGTAATTATCGTTTATCAGATCATATATTATTGACATCGCGTTGTGTAATCGAATCACATCGTGATATGTGAAGTTATATTATCTTTATCATTCTATATCACAAGTTGGTCCTCTTATCATAGAAAAATATTTTCTGGAATCCTCGAGATATATCAAATGTTCCTCGTCCGACACTGCAAAGTTCGTTGGTGTACTGTGTAATTCCATGATTTGAAGGTTTTGTAACATGCGCAAGCACGCTCTTGACGGTTTATGCATCTCTTTTCGATACTTGAAAATATCTCCTCTCTTCTACCGTCATTCGATAGGACGTGTTCAGTTAGATTATGCGAAGGATAGCTGAAATAAAATTATTTAAACCCAAAATTTGTTTGATCGTATTAAACATTCTCTCTGGGGGTTACTTGCGCCCGTACGTGGAGATCTATGAATTCCCGCGTACAGAAACAGTATCGAGCAATATATTCACCCTTTTTCTCATTGCGTTGCTCTGCCGCATCCGTATCTCTTGAATAAGTCGAATTTGAACGCGGAGTAACTTTGGTATTAGATAAACATGTGTGTGGTCTAAGAGTTGTTGCATATGAGATATGGAAGTGGGTAGATGTAGTAACGTGCTACTGGAAACAGCAATGCTTCTCAAGATGGGGAATGCATGGCAGACGGAAAGCTAGTAAGCCCCAGTTTGTAACACTAGTAACGTCGTGCAACCGGATTGGCTTATATGGCATTAATACAACTTGAGATATTTGGAACTCCTTGGAAAGGATTATTCATTTTATTGTTCTAATGACTTGTGAAATTGTATTTCATTAAAGATTAAAATTACGAGTTTGATGGGCGAGATAATGGTTTAAATCTTAACAAGTGTTTAAAATACGAAAAAAGTCACAGTTTAATTTGTATTGACTTTTTGTGATTTAAATTACAAAAACATTTATCTTCGCATTAATTTTTTTAAAAATACTTTTCCAGAAAATATCTTAGTAGTTGTTGGACTTACGAATTCACGGGTCCCTAATATATAGGGTTGATCTGACCAGTAGCAACATCAGTTCATGTCTCGTCTTTTGGCAATGTAAAGAGCGAGATGCAAAGTGCGCGTGGGATTGGTCGGAGACAAACACAGAACAACCGGTCAGAACAGTCAGGCTCAAAGACTCTCCTTTAGGTTTCGTTTGACAGCTACTTGTCGCGTGGAAGCCCTGCAATATGCGGTTTCTTCAATGCGGAAATACTAATATAACAGTAGTAGCAGTGTTAGCTAAACACATCAATCGTAAAAAATCGAGCTTCTCATTATCTGAAGAAATAGCTACCCGCGGAGATGCTTCGAGAAGCTGAGCAGCGCTCTCGCATATTTTCACACTACTCTAGATACAGAAAGACACCATATCAAACTCGATTTGTATTCTGCCGAGCACACATTAAAAGCGTCTCAATTGAACTGATTGTTCATTATTTCTTTATAAAGGCCCTTGAAAATGTTCACATTAATAAGTTTTGTGTACGTGCGAACATTCGCTTCCAAAATGGGACAGTTAAGAACGAAAAGTTTATTTGTATTGACACTGTATATTAATATATATTTACTTTAATATAAATATTGTTGATATATTTAATTTATTTTAATATATTTAATTATATAAATGATAGCAAGTCAGTGGACATTTGTCTTTGTTTATAGTTTTGAGGTCGTTACTGTACCACAACACACAAAATCGAAATATGCAATATAAATACAAAAAGTGATATTTAATTACTCGAAGTTTGATAATTGAATTTAATTCCGTGGTAAACATGCAGATCCATATTTATGTATTACCTTCCGATTGTTTTTTTTTTTTTTGTCTATTATCAGGTGTTCTGGTCTGACCCTGATTGAAGATGCAACTTCTGCAAGTACTTGCAGATTAGTATCGTATATACTACAATCACGAAGATATTTTGAGACGGTGATATATTTTCAGAAATGAACGAAATATTGCTTTGAAATTTCCGCCATTCTTTCTCGATAATGTTATCTTACTTATAATCCTGATTAATGTCTTGGTTGTCTTGAATACGGAGTATCTTATGAGCTGTTCTGCTGTCACGTTGATGATTTATTTGTGTCATAACTGCAAAAAATGCCATTACTGATAAAACTCTCCAGAGACGTGGAAAACTTGAGTTGGCAGCGAATAAGTGGATATGATATTTCATCGTGTTTTGTGTTAATAATTTGGATTCGGTAGCTGTTATTTCATTTTCGAACAAAAATTTGTCGATTATAATGTTATTTATGTGACTTCGTCGAAAAAAATTCTGACTAGTTCGTCTAGCAGTCTTCCTTATGTCGAATCTAAACCCGGACGCTTGTTTCTATTTTCCAAAATATTTTTAGTTCTTAAGCTAATATTTTGATGTATATTTTTTTAACAATATTTAGAATCAAATCTTACGGATGACGCCACAGATTCTAGGCACGTCGAACATTCTTGATGGCCCATAATATCTTTGCCGCCGATGGGAACCTTCCCGCAGGCCGGTTTGCCACCCTCCCCGGGAGACCCTTTTCTTCTGGACTGCATTTATTATACGGGCCCCTGCGGAGAGAAAGCGTAAACGCAATCGCGTACATATGTGCTATTACAGACCCCGTTTTCTCTGCAGCGTCTTTGACCGGAACGCCTAAGGTTCGAGTCCTGGCGGTGTCGGATTTTCTACAGGAGCTACAAATCTCGGTCGAATTCAGTCGCTGCCTAGAAGAGAATTCTTGGGGAAGATTCCTCGAGAGAATTCTGATGGATAGTTTTCCGTGAAGTATATACCGCATCGTGAAAAAAGTTAACTTTACAAAATCTAATGTGTGACAAGTACGAACGCATAAACATAATAATTCCACTGTAATTTTTTTAAATTCATGTGGATGTTTAACGTACAGATTGTTTTTGAAATACTGTCAGCTATTGTTTTCTATATGTAGTCTTTGGTGCAAATATCGTATCATTTAAAAATCTGCTCCCTCTCAAAAATGTTTTTCTGGTTTGGGTAAGGGGCCAAATAGGACTTGTGCGTGCGTGCTTCCGTGCGTGGTGAGTGGTGAGTGGTGAAGTAAAGTGGTGGTGAACGTTGCGTTCGTTGGTGCAGGTGGCAGAAGGAGACACCCATTGAACGCGAGATCCGGCTGGCCCGCGAGCGAGAGGAGGAGCTGCGGCGAGACAAGGGGCTGCCGCCGCTGGCCGCCAACAACGTAGTCTCCAATGTCAAGAAGGCCGAGGTGAGTCACCCC